GAAAATCGCACTAAGAAAATCGTGTCTCAGTCTCTTACGTAAATATGTCACTAAACCCTCCAATGAAACATTCCACAAATCACACGAAAACTTTCTATGTTGCTAATGTACTGAATGTATAGAAAGGAAGACAAATCGGTTCTCACTTTACATTCTGGAAAGTGCGTCATCTCTGTCCGTGATAATATTTCTCAGGTTCGATACTCTGCTGGTTCTTCAGATGTTGCTCTATGTGAACGTGGACTAATTCTAGTATAGCTTGATTATAATCAACTCACCTTGATCCATAGTTAGTGTTTTCTCCGCGAGCCGCGAACCATGTCGTTTTGTTTTCACACTTCAAGCCCGGGACTTGAAGGAATGCTGTCTGTGCATAAATTTGATCACGTGTCAAACCACGGAAACTATTTGAGTCAAGCAGAGAGGGAGACAGGGGCCAATGCGATGAAAGGCTTCCAAGTTTGTTTTGATTACAGCTCATTGATCGAATAAATCGTGAAACCAGACCAAACCAGAAGCATGGGGGCGAAACTTAATCAGCATAAGAATTAAATAAAAAAATCAAAACAAACAAAGCGACACAAATAATTTTGTGATTACCTAAAACTTTATTAAATTCCACTTATGGAAAGTTTTTTTTGTACAGATCACGTAATGACCACTTGCGTTACAGCGTATCCAAATGTATTAACTGAATCACAAAAGTATGCAAAAAATCACGTGATTCCTGAGAAAAACGGGTCGCATTCAAGGTGTTGCTTTGAGAAGATCATCGTTACGTGTTTGTGGATTTCTTGTAATGAATTCGACGGAAAAGCAGGTCATCTAGGCTAGAAGGACTTGAAACTTATTTGGCCACTGAAATGCGATACTGTCTTCAGACATTCGTCTTCTTAAAACTCGTCTTGCCACTAGATCGGTCTTCCCAGCAGTTTTGAAGATGGCGGCTGGTAGCTCGCACTTCGCACCAGCCACGAAATTCTACTGTGTTAATAAAGCGAAGCTAAGGACTTCAGACACTACTATTTGAACTTCTCAGAAAGTTGTCGGACCCGGTTTTTGGCTCATCTACCAGGAGTTTGCCATTTTCTCACATTTTAATTCTTGCATACCAGCATGAAGTAACTCTTGTGGGTTTGCCTTGTGACCCTTCGGTGGTAGCGGTGCGGTTACTCCGCCTTCCTCATGCTTTGTCATACAAATCGTTCTAAAAAAAAAAATACACAAACACATAACGTGTTCTTTGCACAACAACACTAGTCTAACTCTACTATGTCGATGCAAAATATGTCTCTTTTTTTTCTCAGAAATCACGTAATTTTCCGCACTTTTGTGATTCAGTTAGCAAATTTGGATACGCTGTAAGGCAGGTCTTCATTGCGTGATCTACATGAAAATAATTTTACATGTCTGGAATTTAATAAAGTTAAAGACACAAAATTATTTACGTCACGTTACTTGTTTCCATTTTTAGCTGTAAAAAAGTCGATCCAGAGCAGTTTTGTCTAGTACGATTCATTGCTCACCAATGAATTCATTGTTAAAAGTCAGCACTGAAGAAAGCAATGAATACAAGGGATTTCTTGCTACTCTGATGGCAAGAACGATCAGCTTCTCATAATCAGGTCAACATAAGCGACTAACATAAGTGACTGCACAAGTTTCAAGAGTGCATTCTACAAAACAGTATTAACCCGACCTAGCTCACGTAGCTGGCGGGATTTGTGAGCGAGTGGCCTCGTGGCTTCGCCGGCCGCCAAAACAAACGCACTGGCGCGCGAAATCCCGCCAGCTACGCAGGCCAACCTTGACCAAAAGGATCGCCGCCTCCTGGGGCAAGAATGGTCATTAGCGCGTAGGCCTTGGCTCATTGTGCTCCTAAAAGTGACACGTTATGCTGCTAGCACTGCTCCCAATTTTGCCGAATTATGCAAACACAAGAGAGAATGATTATCCTCTCTCTTGCTAAACAATATTATCAAAGTTAATTCACAATTTATGCGCCTAGATTCCAAAACTCTGCTCACAGAAATGGAGAAAAATAATTCGCTTTTCGAATTCGAGCGACAGCAGGGTACTTCTTGAAACATTACAGGTAAAAGTTTTATTCTTTCTTTTTATGTGCCTTTGCTACTAAGTCAAAACACGGAATTAAACTAACTACAAATTCTGTTTATTTTCCTTTGACTTGGCTAGTTACTATACTGAATAAAAACTAACCAACAAAGTTGATCAAGAATCCATATTCGCGGCCAACAATTATGCCAGAACACCGGGTCAAAAGGTATCAGGGCGCACGATACCGGAATGCACCTATTTGACAAGAAAAACATAGAAAAGTTGGACTTATCAGTTCAATAAAAAGTTTGGTTGCCCAAGGGCGCTTAGCCTCTTCCAGACGTTCAGTTAGTTGTATGCTTGGGGTGCAGCGCGAAAACTGGCACATGAACAGTATAAGTGAGAAACGCGACTCTTTTGTCGCTCCGCCTTTTGTTTTTCTTAGCTCCGCAGCAACTAACTAAAAGCTGGGAAGAGGCTAGAGTGCTGTCAGAAGTTCAATCGCCGATCGAAGAGAGAACGGCTTCATTTGTAAGTAATTTGCTATTTATTGCACTAGTCAAAACCACGTCTTCTATAACTAGCTCACGTTGAGTGTCGATTTGATATCAGGGGCTGTTCGAAAGTTGTTTAACACTAGGTAAAATCTGCATGCGAGCCATGTGGCCCATCAGGCCGGAGCTTATCCCGGTTTCTGTAGCATGAAGCGACTAGGAGTATTTCTACTCCCCCCTGGATGGGATGCTAGTCCATCGCAGGGTTACCCCCAGCATTAAGTTCGCCGGTACCCATTTATACACCTGGGTGGAGAGAGGCACTGTGAGAGTAAAGTGTCTTGCTCAAGAACACAACACAATATCCCCGGCCAGGGCTCGAACCCGGACCGCTCGATCCGGAGACGAGCGCACTAACCATGAGGCCACCGCGCCTCCCACTGTTTAACACTAACGCGGCATTAATTAAATTAAGTTGAAGTTGAAGCATGGCAGAGAAAAAACAACAACAGAAATCTTTTGTCCCGTATTAATTTATTGGTCATTGCTGAAGCATTGCACGTACTAAAACTTGCTAACTACTTTAATTTATTAAATAATAACACGGATGTCCTGATTTTACCGTAACAAAGCCACCGACTTAACGGTTGAGCGCTAGCTACAAACAGGAGCTGCTAATTCACAGACGAGGCATATTCAAAATTAATTTTATAAGGAGCTCTCTACCACAAAATTCTTTTAACGAAAATTGATAATTATGCAAAGCGCTTTATTGATCGAAAAGCATCACACTTTTTTTTTTACACTAAACTTGATTGATCTCTCATTTCTGGTAAATACTCTTTTGACCCAGTTGGAGGGTCCCATTTGGAGGCGGCTTTTACCGGTAATGGTTAATTTATTTACGATTCAATTTGTCGTTCGTAGTCTCGTTCGTTGTTCAGGGCTTTCTGCTGAATCGGGGAGCGCTGGAAAATTTTATACATCCAGATGTAAAAGAAACAAACATGGGAAATAAATGTAACCAGATCACCACTGAGATTGAAATAAAAAGAGATAAGACTGATCCTCACCGCCTTAACACTCAGTTAGTCTACCACTTCAGAAGAAGATAGTTCGCGTGTCTATGGCGACAGCCGTAGTGGAGTCGCAGTACGTAGAGGGCTGGGAAGAGAGAACGAGGGTGTAGAGAGGGTGGGGAGGAAAAAGTAAAATCGCCTGTCCGAAAAGACTTAAAAATCAGTAAACGCCACTTATTAATCACCGATATAAACACAAATTTAGCTATACAAATGAGCCTTACAAAGGAAATACCGTCTTAGACTCCGTTCTCAAAGGTACGGAGTTCTCTCAACAGCAACAAAATTGCTGATAACTGTAAGTAGGAGTAATTTTCGTTCCCTTCTTTCTCCCCTGTCACTCGTCATTCAGCTTTATTTCAACTACCCATTAGTGCCCACCCTATCAAATTACACTCGCCTGCTATAAGAGTCTATTTACGACCTAAATACCCTTGCTCATTCTTGTTTCATCAAAACGCCTTTCACTTTTTCAGCCTTTTTTTACCTTTTGGAAGGTAATAATTTTATGCATCTTAGAATAAGAGTCAACTAAATCGTAGCTTAGCATAGCACCATCAAAACGAACCAAATCGACCACAAAAGGATACATATTTCTCGTATTTCACTCACATCCACAACGTTTGCAAAAGATTTCGCTACATGTACCGTTGTTTCCCGGACGTTAAGTATTAAACTTCCACAAACTTAACACGGAGCGATCCTATACAAGGAAGGACAAAACTTCCTTGGCTTCAATCGGCAAAAGAAATGACGGTCATCAGAAAATTAAAAAAGTTAGAAGCTTAGCTTGATGCGAAAAAGCAGTTTTTGCATAACAACTGTAAAGTAAACTGAGTGAAGTTTTTTTCTTAAAATGATCAGTTCTAGAAGTAAGAGGCAAATAAACCTGAACAGGAGTTGACTAATAACCTCCTAACGCTAAAAAATAGTTTGAAAAAGGCAAACGTAATCCAGAATAATGCAGTAGTAGTAGTAGGACTTTGTTGAAATGTCAAGGTATTTAGCTTTTAATAAACTAATCGGGGACACTATTTAAGTCGTAACTAAATACAAATAGGACAAAGATATTTACATATGAATAAAGCGTAACTTAAACCGTTCGTGAAAACGTAATTTACACGTAATATAAAACTAAATATATTCCTAGCCTAATTGAACGGAATTGAACGGAACAACTGACAAGCTAAGATTTCAGTCATGTCGCGAGCTAGCCGTGTCACGTTGAGTTGATAGTAAAAGCCCTTCTTCCCAATATCAAGG